TAGCCCAAAAGTTACATGTTTGATACCTTTCTTAGACCCAAAATCTAAGTAATCATTTTCATTCAACCAAATTCAAGTGATCTTTCCTATGACATCTAGAATGTTAAACCCATAGATGTCCCTTAGGAGTTGTCCCTTATGTTAAAGTTCATCCTACCCTATTGGATGAATTTCACCAAGTTCTAAGTGAAACCCCTTAGGCATGTCTATCTTACCAATAGACACCTCTCTTATCCAAACACTAAGAGAATTTCAAAACACCTAAAAATTACTTAGGTTCCTTTTGAAACAATGATTAATCATCTCCCCCAAAAGGCGAGATGCCTACATCATTGTATCTTAGGATTCATAAGTAACAGGCTTGCCCAAAAGCAAGCAGTGGTTACTTTATGGGTTCTTCATAACCCTTTTAAATATGAAATTTTAAAAATTAAATAAAATCTTTAAGTCACAAACAACCTAAAGTGAAACCACCTTCGGATAAAAATTAAACACTTTCATTCCAAAATAAAACCAAATACCCTTAGTGTGATATGCCACACACACTTAGGTGCACAGCCCCTAGGCATGCAAGGACTAGGATTTTTTCCTTTTGAGGGCATATGATTTATGATTTGGTGTGATTGCCCTTGGATTATCTGTGTGGGCACTTGCCCTTAAGTGGATAGTGTAGAAATATACATGTTCTTCTTGCAGGTGGCCATATCAAAAGGAGGGCACTCATAAATAATAAATTGTTTGCATGACAGGTGCTGCTTAAAACCCCCCAAAAGATGTGGCCAATAGGGTAGAAACAGATGCTTAGCACTCTAAGTGCTAGACAAATTTTGGATGCGATTATCATATAAACTGCTTCTAACTCTATTTTGCAGGCTAGAGTCTTTTACATTTTATAAATGTATTTAATAGAAGTAGGATGTAAAACTTGTGGGGGTCTGGATCAAAAGAAGCTGAACCAAACAGATGTACATGTGGAAGGTGATGCCTGAGGTTTACTTGGAAGATAAAGCTTCAAGACCCCATAAGTAGAGTCTGTAATAATTTGACTGGATTGTATAATGACATGCAACTCAGCTGCCAAACATGTTTGTAATAACTTGGACTCTGTTTACATTCCTTGCACTTTATTTATAAATAAAAGCATGTTTGGTTGTTTACCTGATTGTGCAATAGAAAAGCATGCTTTTTTAGGCTTTTTTTTCTTATTTTTGCTTGGGTGTGACTTGGACTGTTTAATGCAGACAAAATAAGATTGATTACATTTTAATGGGTAGAAATCTTATTTTGTCCTAAGAGACTACCGCATCAAACAGTTCAAGCCACACCCAAGCAAAAGCAAGGAAAGAAGCCTAGGAAAAAAGTATGATTTTCTATTGCGCAATCAGGTAAACAACCAAACATGCTTTTATTTATAAATAAAGTGCAAGGAATGTAAACAGAGTCCAAGTTATTACAAACAGAATTGGCAGCTGAGTTGTCTGTCATTATACAACCCAGTCAAACTATTACAGACTCTACTTGTGGGTCTTGAAGCTTTAACTTCCAAGTAAACCTCATGCATCATCTTCCACAGGTACATCCGTTTGGTTCAGTTTCTTTTGATCCAGACCCCCACAAGTTTTACATTCTACTTCTATCAAATACATTTAGAAAATATAAAAGACTCAAGCCTGCAAAATAGAGTTATAAGCAGTTTATATGATAATCGCATCCAAAATTTGCCTAGCACTTAGAGTGCTAAGCATATGCTTCTACCCTATTGGCCACATCTTTTGGGTGGGTTTAAGCAGTACCTGTCATGCAAGCAATTTATCATTTATGAGTGCCCCCCCTTTTGGTATGGCCACCTGCAAGAAGAACATGTATATTTATACACTATCCACTTAAGGGCAAGTGCTCACACACAGATAATCCAAGGGCAATCACATCAAATCATCAATCACATGCGCACAAAAGAAAAAAAATTTAATCCTAGCATGCCTAGGGGTTATGCACCTAAGTGTGTGAGGCCTGTGTGTCATATCACACTAAGGGTGTTTGATTTTATTTTGGAATGAAGGTGTTTAATCTTTATCCAAAGGTGATTTCACTTTAGGTTGTTTGTGACTTAAAAATTTTATTTGATTTTTAAAAGTTTCATATTTAAAAGGGTTATGAATAACCCATAAAGTAATCACTGCTTGCTTTTTGGCAAGCCTGTTACTTATGAATCCTAAGATACAATGATGTAAGCATCTCGCCTTTTGGGGGAGATGATTAATCCTTGTATCAAAAGAAACTTAAGTAATTTTTAGGTGTTTTAGAATTATCTTAGTATTTGGATAAGAGAGATGTCTATCTAATAGGGTAAGATAGACACGGCTAAGGGGTTTCACTTAGGACTTGGTGAAATTCATCCAATAGGGTAGGATGAACTTTAACAGAAGGGACAACTCCTAAGGGACATCTATGGATTTAACATTATGGATGTCATAGGAAAGATCACTTGAATTGGGTTGAATGAAAATGATTACTTAGATTTTGGGTCTAAGAAAGGTATCTAACATAAGCGGATTGGGGAGAGTGAGTTGAATAAAACATTGGAAAGTCATAAGGCATTCACGCATATTTAATAACAAAAAATTTAATAGAACAATGGATCATGTTTTCTCATATTTCGGGAGGAAACCTAGTAAATAATTTGACAGTGGATGCATTAATATGCAATAGATTTTTAAGCTTCAAAGGAGTTCGATTGTCAATTTAAATCATCATCTTCAACAAGATCAAAGGCGTCTTCAGCAAGCATGGTATCATCTCCTTGATGTGGCACTTTATTCTCCTCATTAACCCAATTGACTGTTACACTCTTTTCCTTGTATGCAAAAAATATGATATGTTCTCCTGTTATCTTGTCAACATCTTAAGTTAAATTGAAGATCTAAAATCAAATTATAGCATACCTTGTGTATGAGAAGACAAACATGTCGTTTGTGCAAGGACACTTACAAAAATTTAAATTAGTAGTAATTGTTCTTTCAGGGACATCATCACCAATATTTTCTCCAACATTTACATCCAAGGCCGTAAGGTTTTTAGAATGCTTCAACCACTATATCTTTGAATGCTTCAACCACTCTATATCTCAAGGAATTAATGGATCTTCTTTCTCCATAATTAATTCTCCGAATACCGGATAAACGCAACGGTTGGCTTTTCCTTTTGTTCTTTCCCTTAGCTTCAAACAATAAATAGCATAAACAAGAGCATTTATCTTTTGTCGCTTATATTTATTTCTTTTCTTAGTATGCACGTAAGTATTTTCATATTCAAAATAAATAACTAAGTACATACGTAATTTAAATTAACAAGGAGACAAGTACATATCTGTAAAAAAATGATCAAATATGCTTTAGGTGCTTTCACATCTAAAAGCGCTACATGTTAGGTTTAGCACTAGAATAGCAAACCTAGCCAGTTCTGGAGTGCTAAACCAAAATCGTCGCCACCATGAAATTAATCCATTAAAATAATCAATAAAAATAACCTGCCAACAATAATTCTTAAGAATACATCCACAAAGAACAATTAAGAAATTACGTTGAGATATTTTGTATCTTGTAATAATTGTCATTTCTTAGCCTATGTCACATTCAAAATTGTCAAACTGATCCAACTAACAGCCGCCAATTATGAGCACATTTCTATTTGGGCTCATTGTTGTCTTGCGTTCAAAGAGACTATTCCCATGTCAACAGCACAGGTAAAGTTTCTCTCATATCTCAATTGAGGGTTTAAGTAATAGCAAGCTGCATGTAAAGGGAAATGCAATTGGTGTCCATTTTACATAAATGTTGTCCACAATGGGTTTATAATTTCTCTTCACCTCTCCACATGCTTTTGTTATCTCTTCTTTTGTAGTCTCCATCATTTCATGCAAAAAATGACATTGCTGGCCTCTTCTCAAAATCAACTCTCTCTTATAAAACCTTGACTAGAGGAATAGTGGTTTTGATGCTGCCTAACCTTGGATTCATAAAGAATGGTGTCTTTTGCAGATATGCCCCATATTTTACCTAAGGACAATTGTTAAATTTTACAAGACGAGAAGATAGATTGAAGGCCTAATTTTACTTATTGCTGCTTCGTAATGTTAATAAGCATGGTACAAAACTTTTAACTGCGAGATGTAGATTAGCAATTATTGTGGAATGTCCTCATCAAGTTTCAGACCCATCCACTGTGCGCTTAGCTCTGGATAATATTTTTTTCTAATAACAGTAATGTTCATTTATTCGAAAGATAAAAGCAATAACAGTATAAATAATGAAGACATGAAAGAAATCTTAAAAATCAAGAATACTTGTGAATTTGTGGGACTAGCTATAGACTAAGAGGTGGAGGCAGCATGAAGAGAGAGACTATGAAGATAAAGAATTGATAGGCATTCTTGAGAAAAAGCTTGTAAGTGAGACATAAAAAGCATCAGGAAAAAGAACCAAGGAGAAGCATATAAAAAATTAGACAGCGAGGGAACATAAAGAGAAGTGACTAGCTCCAATAAGAGAGAATTGAGAAGCAAGAAGAAACGACTCAATGAATACAAGAATAAATGAAAAGTGTTTGTGCCTAGTTATTGTGACTAGCTCCAACTAATCAACCATGCACGAATCTACTTGTCGTTGCAGGCTATATACAAGTTTCATCCTTTTTGAACTTTTTTATCAATTACATTAAGTTAACTAACCAGAAAAAGGTAAAATAGTAAATCAAATTTCTAGGCATGATTCATTAATACTTAACGTATCATATAATCAGATTTCACAAGCATAGATATAAGTATATACGAAATAGCAAAAGCAAACTGTGTTACTCACATATACTAAAAGTACTTAAGAGAAGTTAACAAGATTAAAAACTAAGTATGATAATCTTGAATTCAATTGTTAGATTAGCTCTGAAAGTATGAAAAAGTATTACACGGAATAAAAGAAACAGGGAAACTGCAAGCAATTACTCACTCAAACCAGGAATATCCTCAACTTTGAGAATCTTTCTAGGAATACCAGCTTCCTTCTGAAAAAGAAAATATCTTAACAGTAAGTATGATATGCAGCATATGATAAAAATAAACAGAGCAGAAACGATATCCAACGTACAAAAGAAAAAAAAAAACTGCTGACACTTAATGCACAATTCCAATGATGTTAATGGATCGCATTGTTATTTAAAGACTTAAGTATTCATTATTAACTTTATATCCAAATTATATTAGATTTATCAAATTAATTAACTCTATAATTCAAACAAATAACTAATCCTAACATTTCCATTCATTGATGATTTTTTTAGAGAGTGAATTACAAATTCATAAAATTACTATTAGCAAAAAAGGTTTATATTTTTTTTTTTCTATTCCTTCAACCATTTAAAAAAAAAAACAAAACAAAACAAAATAAGCCTTCAAGACAAGATCAACATTGCACATATATTTGATAATTTTCTAAGATATTTTTACATTGTTGTGCAGTTTGGTTACCAATTTCAAGCAGGATTTAAGATGGATTTAGACTATCCAAACATTGTTTCTAAATCTTGGCTTAAGTAAATTCTGGATTTACAATGCAGTCAAGATTTCTCATTATATATATATATTATTTTCTTGTGTTTTTGGATGCTATGGAATTTTATTTTGTATGCCCCGATGATAGAAAACAACCCATGATCATGCCGAGTTTGGTGCTCTCAGGTCAGTTCACACCATTGCGCTTCCACTTGTGTGTTCTTGCTCATTTTCTCCAGCTAATTGCTCGGTTTCCCTTCCACCAGTATCTTTCTTATCTAGTTAAAATCAGTTTTTGATGAGTGAAAACAATATAAAATTGAGGGTTTCTTCTTAGCTTACGAGCTGTCTTCTCCGGAACCCCAGTTCTTCTCGGTCTTCTTTCTACTTCTCTCCATGATTTCCCTTCTGCCTGTACCTTTCTTCTCTAGTTAAAAACAGTTTTTGGTGAGTGAAAATAATATAAACCTGAGAGTTTCTTCTTAGCTTGCGAGTTGTCTTCTCCTTAACCGCATTTATTCCTCTCGGTCTTCTTTCTACTTCTTCTTTCCACGGTTTCCCTTCCACACGTACTTTTCTTCTCTAAATATTGTGAGTTGTATGGTGTTTTGTGTGATATTCTATTGGTATTTGCTGGAGGAGCATAGACTTGTGCTGGATCATAATTTCTTTGGTGGATCTCTTGTTTGTCCTTTCCTTTGAGCGCCTTCTCTAGTTTGTGTTTTCATGTGAGGTGCCAATTTGTCGTTGTTCTAAGGGTAATATAATTTATGTGTATTAATTTTTTCTTTCTTGCATGACATCCTAATCATTTTCCCACATTTGTTTCCTACAAAGTTTCCATCATTCGGTGTTTGTTTATGTGATATTGAAAGGAAGTGTATTATTTGCATGCCTAGTGTTCTCCTACCTGACTTAAGAACTTAGGTTGTATCAATTTGGTATCAGAGATGAAACTACAGGAACTAGAAAAACTCCATATGAAAAATGCTAAATACAAGATTGCGACCAATATACATCAGAGAAAATGTTATTTTCAAGAAGGAGATTTAGTTATGGCTTACTTTCGACGACAACGTTTTCCTGTTGGTACATTTGGCAAATTAAGCCAAAAGAAACTTGGTCCTTTCCAAATTTCGCAGATTGGGAACAAATGCTTATATATTGGATCTCGCATCTTCTGTTGGAACTTCTCTTGTTTAATATTGTTGATCTTACTGCATTCGAGGGAGAGAGCCGACTGATTCTGTGGACATAGAGACTTTTCCCCTTACAGTTCCAATTCAAACCAGTGATGATCTTATAGATGATTTTTTGGATATTCGTACTACCCATATAAGACATGGAGTGCATCGACGATTCTTGGTTAGATGGAGTGGACATCCTCTAACTGATTGTACTAAGATTGAAGCTGAGGAGTTGCAAGTTCATCGTCTTAATATCTACTAGCATATTACAAAGACGTCCTCATCAAGAGATGAGATTCTTCCACCATGGGAGAATTGATGCAGTCAAGATTTATCATTTTATGATTTTTTTAATTTTCTTGATGTTATGTAATTTTATTTTGTATGGCCCTATGATGGAAAACAACCCATGATTATGTCGGGTTTGATGCTCTCAGGTCTGTTCACAACTTTTCCCTTCCACTTGTGTGTTCTTGCTCCTTTTTTCCTATGGATGCTCAGTTTTGCCTATTGTATGCTATGTTTCCCTTCCGCTTATATCTTTCTTCTCTAGTTAGAAGCAATTTTTGGTGAGTTAAAGCAATATAAACCTGAGGGTTTCTTCTTAGCTTGCGAGCTGTCTTGTCCCTAACCCCAGTTCCTCCTCTCAGTCTTCTTTCTACTTATTCTATCAACGGTTTCCCTTTATTTCTTACTATGTTTCTATCATTTGGTGTTTGTATATGTGATATTGAAAAGAAGTATCTTATTTGCATGCCTAGTGTTCTCCTACTTGATTTAAGAACTTATGTTACATCAATTTAGCAGGATTTTGATAAATTTTGGCTCAAATTCAGAATTTATCAAATCTTGGAAAGAATAATAATAAAGAAATTTACTTCAGCACTATTTACCAAGTTTTTTTCAATCTCCTAAATTTTCCAATCTACAACCAAACGGTCCGTAGATTTGGTTGGATTTTTAAGCATTGGGCGACCATATAGTTTTACAATCAGGATTTATTAAATCGAAAAACATCCTATTTGAATAGAATTTATCAAATATAGATATACTAAATCCTATTTTACAACCAAGCAAGCCCTTATTTACATGCAATTTAGAGGGTAGAATAAAAACTCATTGCAGATGATTGAAAACTCATTGCTCATGTAAAACATAGGAGGTGAGGTGATGAAAGTATTATTGCCTGCCCTTACTAAATTTTAAAGTAGAATAAAAAAAATGGTAGAGAAGATTAGAAACAAACCTTTTGAAAGTCAATGCCAGAATAAACAATATGGCAGTTTGATAATTCTCTGATTTTCTCATCAATTGCCTGTAGTTTGAAATAAATAAAAAAGTCATACTCAAACAGCCTGTGTAATATCAGTACAAGATGAAAATTTAAAAAATATTATCAATGCAAAATTTAAAAAAGATAAATGCCTAAGTAAATGAAAAATTTGTCCACAACAACACCAAAACGGTACAAACAAATGAAAGAGGAGAAAATGAACAAAAAAGCAACAATGGCATGCAAAAACGTGATTGATTTGATGTGATTGTATTGATCGAGCTTGTTTGTTTATGTGATTGTATTGATGCTTGTTGTGAGAACTTTTGTAAGATCACCTATAGTCCTAGTTGGTTGTCCATGTGCTTGGCCTTAGGGGATTTAACTTGAGCATATTCAAACATCTTCTAAGCTTTCCATTCTTTATCTTGCTAAAGGACGTTCTAGAGCTAAGAGCAGAGGAATTGATCTTCTCCTTTATTGACTTGTCCAAGGAGATCGAGCATCTTAGCTCCTCATGAATATTGTTTTAGCTCACCGATTGCGCTTTTAGGCTTGACACACCACAACACCTCAAACTTATTCTCAAAGGGGCACATTGACTAACGGTTTCAAAATTGAAAATAAAGATCTTCTGTTCTTGCTTTTAGAGATGAGCGCTTTCCCACTTACCTCTTGAAATCTTAAGGACTAGATGCCTCTGACTCATGCTTCTGGAGGAGAATGCAAGTGGCAATAATTATAGCAGTTGAAGTAACAACCCACTTGGGAAGAAATTGAGTAAAGGTGTTTTAAGGGTCCAACCCCACCCCCACCCCCTTGCAGCGAGCACCTGTAGAGTATTTGCAGGCAGCCTATCGACCAAAGCACAAATAAAGAGAGCTCGCATGACTAGCAAAATATGGAAAGAGAAATATTTCTCAAAGGAGTCATTAGAAATTTGTGCTCATAAAAAACATCGTCTAATATGACAATTTCAAGAGCGGTAGAGATTTATTTTCAAGAGACAAATTAAATGGTAATAAAACATTACCAATTAATTCACCTTCTTGTAAGGACTTCACTTTTCTAGTTTGAAGGTTTCCTAATGACATAAGTCCTCTTGATTAATTACCACCCTCATAAAAGAGAGTGCTTTCAATTAGGAAAAACAATATAAACAATTTTATAGATTGGTAACTACAATTGCTCTCTGGATCTCTTGAGTATTGATATGAGATGCTCTGCTCTTGTGCTCAAAAGTGTTTGGTCAAGGATTGTCAATTATAATTCAAATGATTTCATCTTTTTGAGTACCCTAATTTATTTAGTCGGAGAAGTTAGTCGACCTAGCCTACCTACAAAATTCTTGTTCAGTCATAAGTAACTTCATCCAATGAGACTTTATAAAGTGGGAGTAAATAAGGAGTGAGAGATCAATTTTAGATCAACTCAAAATGACAAAAAACTTTATACTCTATCAGATGCCTCGAGCAAAGCTAGAAAAGCCTAAATGCATGACATCATAGAATATATGTAATTTGTCCTTGACTACAAGTGGGGTAAAATTTTATTTTCAAGAGACAAATTAAGTAGTAATAAAGCATTGCCAGATAATTTGCATTCTTGTAAGGGACTTCATTTTTTTGGTTTGAAGGTTTCCTATTGACATTAGTTCTCTTTATTAATTAACGCTCTCATAAGGTAGAGCACTTTCAATTAAAGCAAAAAATATAAATTGCCTTATAGTTTGGTAGCTACAATGGTCTCTGGCTCTCCAGTGTACTGATATGAGAAGCTCTGCTCTTGTGCTCAAAAGTGTTTGGTTAAGGATTGATGACTCGTAAATTAAAATCACATAATTTCATCTTTATGAATATCCTAATTTATTTAGTCGGGGAAGTTAGTCGACCTAACCTACCTGTTGGTGATGCATTGGGCAGAGAGAGCAAAAATCATATACGCTTTTTTAGCATGGCAGAGGAAACTCGTCAACAACATTTGCGACACGACGGGGTCATCACTAAAACCCTATTTACAATGTGGTTGGCATGACAAGCAATATCATATATGCTTTTTTTAACGTGGCAGGGGAACTAGTAAGCAATGGTCGCGACGCAATAAGTAAACCCGACATGCTTTTCTTAATGTGGTAGGAAAATTTATATGTTGTAAACTCTTGTATAAGTACCTCGTATGGGCCTTTCTTAACGTTGTAAGATTTTTGAGAAAATTTTGAACCTTGTGTTGTAGGACACTAACCATAAACACCTTTTTTTTATTTTAGGAAGGCCCAAGCTCCCCATAGATTCTACATATGCAGGGGAGACACTAAGAGGCTAGCATAATTTAGACTAAACAGAACTCTAAAAAGGCACATAAGTCCTAAAATGAGAAAAATGCAACTAAATAAAATGATGAAATCGTTAAACACTTAAAATGCCATGCAATTAGGTCTACGAAAAATATCGAACAATGAATTGAAAATACATTTGCAAGTTAACTAAAAATGCAAACAAAACCTCACCGCTACACACAAAATCCTCAAGAACTCATAACAACGACTCAAGTAAACCAAAGATGTGAAAAATAAAACATCATCCACTCATATTTATAGGGAAGAAATGAACTATATTGAAACCCACGACATTTTTAAAAAATTATATTAAAATGATAAAATGACATAATGTAAAAAATATGTCGCTCCAATTCGTTCTAAAATTTGTCTTCTTTACCACAAGATCCACAAAACTTTTATACAAGCGAACATAAAACAATTATTTAAAACTCAAACTGAAAATTTTAAATTCAAACACCAAAATTTAGATAATTTTAACATTATAGGTAAATTTCACGAGACAGCATCCAACTCTAATAAGATCTCAAGATTCATGCAAGTATTGTAATAATTTCAAAATTAGTTCCTAATTAAACCAATTATGCTACATGGATCGAAGTGTTGGGCATAAAAACACTAATAACCAAGTTGAATGTGGCAAAAAAAGAATACTAATATGCATGCATAGTACACCGCAAAGAATAGAGTGAAAATTATTATATTATCAAGATGATGGGAGTAACACTTATTTGAGATAACGTCATAGAAATAAATTTAGGCTATTTTGGCATCTAAAGCACATACTAAAAGATGCTCCAATAAAATAAGGATATATATGTTTAAGATGAAAAGATAGGAAAATAAAAGAGACATATCAAAAGGAACTTAATTAGAGATCGTGCAAGAATACACGATAGAGTTAACACCACATGTAGCATCAAGAGTAATAATAAAGGAGGATTCGAAGTCGATTCCAAATGGTTGGGAAAAGGTTAATGTTGATGTTCATAGATTTATGACTTAATTAAGTTAAATTAATTCTTGGCCCACCAATTGATAAATGAATTAATTTAAACTTTCCACCCAACATATATTAATTAGTGACTATACATTATAAATGTAAGAGAGAACTCACACGAATCTCAAACTTAAACAACTAGTAGCGGAAGATTGATTAAGCTCAATCTAGCTCAAGTGCTAATCATGAAAAATCTTATCTCAATCCTAGATCAATTTGCATGCTGACACCATTTAATCAAGATTAGGGAGGTTAAGTTTGGAAAATCAAATTTAAGCTTCTTATAAAAAATTCCTACTGAGGCATGAAAAAAAAGATGAAAATATCCAAATTCACATATCCAACAAAAGAAAGGTTTAGGATGATGGCAAAAGTCAGCAAAAGGATGCAGGAGATGGCATTGAGGGTGGAGAATGGGCAACCTAATGAGGTAGGGGAATGACAAGTGTTAATTAGTTTTCTTTGAGCTTCTAACTGTTCCTATATGGTCCATACTCGTGTTAGCACAAATGTCATTATAACTTTTAGTCCAATTATGCAAGATAACTATCATGTCATAACCCGAATGAATATATGAAATAATAAGATCCATTCTTAATAATATCTATATTATTAAACTTTTTCCATCAAAATTGTGCCACTTGATTATTTTGTCGGTGAAGTCAAGACTTATGTTATTATAGATTTCATAATGATTTTCTAGTCAATAATCATCATCATTAACCTTAATCCAACTATTTGGACTCGGCTTTATGAATTCTCATATTCTTATATTATAGTGATTACTACTGAGTACAAAAAAGTATTAAATCTATTATATGCAAATCAATGGTAACTTCGATCAACATTACAATTAGTCTACCCCTCTTCTTTACATTCCTTCAATGCTAACTTTAGCTTTCTATCTAATAGGTGCAATTTCTACCATTTGTTGTACTTGTCCAAACTACTAAGGCAATTCTCAACTACCCTATTTTCAATAAATAGTATTCCAACTATCATAACATAATCGTTCTTAAATCTATCATTAATATTATTGTTAAAAATTCATCTTAAGATTATTTTTTCTAACACAGTCAACCAAACTATTAATGGACTTTTTATATCCCTAAACTAAGATACACCCGCATAGTCAGCCTAATTACAGCTTTGTAAGTTTTCATGATATTCTCCTCATACATACTCCTATTGTGGCACTTATACATTTAACAACTAAGCTTTAAGTATATAAATTATAAACTAATTTATATTCCTAATCTTCTATATACTAATCACAAGATTCCTAGATTATCAAACTAAGTCAACATGATATGTTTTGGTGATATTAATTAATAATTGATAATATCACATCTACTAAAATTGAATATCACGTACTAAGAATTTATTTTACTAATCATAATGCTTTAAATTCTAAACAATTTTCTCTATCATTTTAAATTTCAACTTATTTAACAAACATCTCACTAGTTAGAACTATATTATCTGCAAAAAACATAGATTAGAGGACCTCACTTTGAATATACTTTGTAAGCATTTTCATAGCCATCACAAAAAAAATTTCCCAGCAATTTATAATAATAAACATGTCCTATAATATAAATGTTCTCCGCATTTACCAACTCCAATAGAAGTCTACAAACTATAACCTTAAATTGGTCCTTTCAAGATGTGTTGTAACTTAGTCTTTAGAGCAAAATAATAGTGTGCTTTCAACTACAAGAATATCTGAGTGCTTAGAAAAATTAGTCCAAATATAAGTCAAATAGAGCAACCCACAATCATCAAAGGATATGGAGTCCTGAGTATCCCAATATAATAATAAGAAAGAAAATAATAATAATAATAATAATATAAAAAGGCATACATCAGATACCTGCCTTTGTCGACGAACCATTGTTGATAAGTCAGTGTACGGAAGCTTTGGATCAATTTTGCACTCCATAAGAATGCCTCCATCATAGTCCTTGATGTAACTTAAAAAAAAGATAGCATGGTCTTAATACTAAATAAGCTTAAGAGCACACTAATCTGAATTAGACAAAAAATTTGAAAGAAAACTAATATAAAAAACCAATACATGAGAAGATAGGGAAAATTGGCACAATTTTTTACATATTCATTAGGAGGATGCTTTCCAATGTAAAGGCTCATTATTTGGTTATTTTTTAGTTTCATAGTGCAGTGTCCCTGCAAAGAATATAATAAAATATTATTTTCTAGATTCCTCAAGCCTAGAAGTGTGATGTCATTCGATTTTGGGCAATGAACCTTGGAGTTTTGTATTAGTTTTGAGTCTTATGCCATAAGACGTAGTTTCCTAACTGCATACAGTCTATATGTTATACTTGTATCATATACATTATCTCTTCTCCATGACTTATCAATATGTGCAACTTATCTGCTCCACTAATTCTACCAAGTTTATCATAGTGATATTTGCAACTTATCAAAAAATTTATTTTGACCAACATATATGACTTATTATGCCAAGTTTATATTTTGAATTTTTCTAATTAAAAATCTATGAGGAACTTGGTGATCATAAAAAGGGCTTTGAAGCATATAAAACTTGATCAATCATTTTTTTAAAATTCCTTCTAATTTTGAGAGTATGTTACCTGAGGAAGTGGAAGACTTAAAGGTTCTTATGATTACAAGTGTAAAGCTTGATTCTCTTACCTTGGGATTTTAGTTATCTTAACATGCATTCATTTTATTATTGGATTAAAACGTGATTGATTTCAGTCAAGTTGGGTATAATTGATTAAACACGTGCCTAATGCCCAATTAATTGCATTGTTTTCTTAATAGTTCCTAATTTCTATACATTGTTTTTTGTAGAACAATGTTTAATTATTGGGTCAAATTTCTAAGCATTTTCAAATTTCATCTTAAGTAACTAAAAAAATTGTTCAAATTAAGAGTTTGTAATCTATGAATTTATGTATTTTTATAATTTTGTGCAATTCGTTGTAAATCCGCAATAACAAATGCTAAATCCTAAGATGTCATACATCAAATTGGTATTTGAGTCTAAGATTATGTAAAAATGTTGTTATTGTTGTTATTGTTGTTATTGTTGTATCACGTTCGTATTCAAGTAGATATGATTTCATCATAAAAGGAATTATATCAATATATTGTAAGTTACTTGTGGCTAAATTATTGAGAGTTATTAAAGTTGCCCTCTTAGACAATGATAATGATGACATTTAATATTATCTTTTTTATTGATCTAATGTAAGTACGATGTAAATACATGCGGCTAAATGAGTATAGTACTACTGAAAAGATGATAATAGAGTAGGCAATGCACTTTAATTTGTGAATGAAATATTTTGCAAACTTTTTACACATGCTTCATGCCAGCATAATAGCTTTGTGTTTGGGATTTAAGGAGAATACATAATCTTAAAAAAAAATTCATGTTCTCTTAGATCTTGACCTTTTAGGACTTATTTATAATTATATGCGAATCTATAACATAGACTAAATGAATGGTCTTTTCCTATTAATTGTGATCAGCTGTAAATTAGGGGCTGCAATGAATGGGGTGTGCCATGTAGCTGAGTATTGAGCAATATGTTATACTTGCTACTTATATGTACTAAGTTTTCTCCAAAATATATATATATACTATCGGGTCCTCATACTTTACCAATGATGTTCAATGACTAGTGGCTTAACAAGATGTGTATTTAGGGCAACAAACATGAGTAATCTAGTCATATTGATTTTTTTTGAGTTTTTTAAATTAGAAATCTACGGGAACTAACATATTTATAGTTAAGAAGGTCACTTTTATCAATAGAAATTATTTAGAATGTATATTTCTCTTTATTTCTTAGGAGGGGTAGTTTTATAATTAGGTGACCTAAGAGTTAATTGATGTTTTCCAATAAACACCCAAGATATCTAAAATGTGTACTCTTATTAATGACTTGATCGCCCAAAGTCACAATCCCCTCACTAGGTCTATTACTACTAAAATTACACTCCATATATTCCGTTTTAGATCTACTCAAGCGAAAATCATTAGACTCTAAGGTTGACCTCCATAATTCAAGTTTACCTTCAACTCCCCCTCTAGTTTTATCAACAAGAAGAATATCATCAACAAAAAGCATACACCAACGTACATCCTCTTACAAATGTCTAGTGAGAACATCCATGACAACATGACCCGATTATAATACGATTTATATTTGATATTATTAAATCTAAATTTACACTAGTTTAAGCTGGAACATATTCATGAAATTGAACCTAAATCAAGCAAGAGATCAAACTTAAATCAAAATTGAGCATAATAATACATTATTTATGAGCATAAACCTCAATTAAACATAAATTTAAAACAAAATTTTAGCATGAGATAAGTTTAAATCAAAATCTAAATAAAAATCTGGAAATATTCTAAACTATGAAACTTTATAAAACATGCTCATTAAAGTTGATAAAGCAAATGTGGAATCAAGTAATCTAGACCCTATAAAATATCTAGCATAGCTCTATCTATGAATAAAACTAATCAATGATGTTTTTGGTTCTTGTTAATTTTATCAAAATTGCTCTCTAGATTATCATCCATATGATCCCTGATCATATGTGCAATCAAGTATGCTCGCGTTGTACTGTTAAATGAATTGCGGAACAATGTTTTTGGCATAGGCCTATGTGATTACACTTTCTAGAGTCATTTGGTTTCAATTTGCAAACAATTTCAACTTTTTCTTCGCGCAACGAAGTCCTTTTATTAGTGTGCTCTATACTCGATATAATATTTTATGTATAGTATTTCATAATTTTTTAAGCATAATATTGCATTGGGCATCAATTTATTATGTGATTTAATTTGAACTAAAAATTTTGAGTTATTTATAAGTATGCCATTGAATTATAAATATTCTAAATTTCCATTTTTCTTATTTTCACTCATTTGGATGTTGTTTGGAGATAGGAAGAGGAGAGTACAAGAGCTCTAGGCCAAGAAAGAGAGTTTTTTTAAATCCAATTTAAAAAATTGATGTAGCTGGAATAATTGTTCCTTATGAGGTAGGATAATTCTCCTCTCATTATTTTCAATATTTCATCTCTCGAATGATTTTTGTAGATAATATATGATTTGATTGACCTTTCAAGATTATAATGATTTTCACCTGACATTATTGTGATAGAAAGTCCCCTATACATTTATGTAAATTTCCTATGTAATAGTACCATTGTTGGCAAGGGATTTCTCAATTTATGTATGTCCTATGCACTTTCACCATGTAATTTGACAAGTACATTAATATTTGTCGGGGTTATTGATCAAAATCTATGATTGCTCGTTAAAGACATAAAAGTACGTAATATGCAATGCATGCAACATGTTGTAATAAAGAGGATTTTGAGGTGTGCATGTTCCTACATGTTTATAGTGATCTCTGTGTTCCCACATAATTTGTATGAGTATGGAAGTAATCCTACATGTTTCCCCTACAGCCTTGCATTGAGAATCCTAAAGTGCATATGATCTTATTATTGACCACATGCTTTTTGTTACTATACATGGCATATTGTTTGATTCTCATGGTGTGATTAAGACATTGCATAATCTCCACGTATGCCTTTACTATTTACCATGATATGAAGTTTGTACAAGCCTTATTGAGTGGCACATGGTGTTGGCCTCCTTATCAACTATCTAATATAAACCTAAATTAATATGATGTTATGTGATTTTTCATATGCATGACTATTTGTATTTCTTAATAGTGATTCCCAACGCATGGCATAAGTGTTTATCCATCTGCATCTTCATGACCATAAGTTTTGATTTAACCCATTTAAGATATAGCATGGTGTTTGGCATAATAATGTGATGTGATATCGAAACAAGCATAATGATGTGTTCATAATATCATTAACTGAGATCGTATATTTGAGCGTTATATTCATTAGTGTATATGACTACTTATGGAAATTCTTGATTATTTAAGAGTCATAGTCCATGATTTTATAATGATTATTGTGCATTATATTATATGATATATGTGCTTGTAGCTATAATATAAGTTTGCAACCCATCATTATTTGTTTATTATCATGTGAGTATCACATGTTGAATAGCTTGCATGATTTAAAGTTGTGAATAAAACTAATTTGTATGAAGAAGGTTGATCTACTTGCCTAAGAAAGGGAAATTCCACAATTGGCATATAAAATTATACACATTATATACTTGCATACCAATTGATCCAAAATCAAGCCAGTGGATACTTGATAATGATATATTAGAAACAAGTAATGTGCATGCTATAGTAATGCACACACTAGTCAGTGGACATTTATCTTAGGTACCACTCTAACTGACAAGCTCGTCAACAGAAACCAGTAATAAAAAATCTAGCCTTTGTTTCTTTAACTCTTATCACTAGAGTATGATTGTTGTTCTGAATATTATATTGTGTTATCAAGATGAATCATGTAGCCGACCCCACATAGTGAGATAAAAGATTGATGTTGTTATTGTTGTATCACGTTCGTATTCAAGTAGATATGATTTCATCATAAAAGGAATTATATCAATATATTGTAAGTTACTTGTGGCTAAATTATTGAGAGTTATTAAAGTTGCCCTCTTAGACAATAATAATGATGACATTTAATATTATCTTTTTTATTGATCTAATGTAAGTACGATGTAAATACATGCGGCTAAATGAGTATAGTACTACTGAAAAGATGATAATAGAGTAGGCAATGCACTTTAATTTGTAAATGAAATATTTTGCAAACTTTTTACACATGCTTCATGCCAGCATAATAGCTTTGTGTTTGGGATTTAAGGAGAATACATAATCTTAAAAAAAAATTCATGTTCTCTTAGATCTTGACCTTTTAGGACTTATTTATAATTATATGCGAATCTATAACATAGACTAAATGAATGGTCTTTTCCTATTAATTGTGATCAGCTGTAAATTAGGGGCTGCAATGAATGGGGTGTGCCATGTAGCTGAGTATTGAGCAATATGTTATACTTGCTACTTATATGTACTAAGTTTTCTC